GCTGTCAGCAGAACACATTTATTTGCTCCTCAAGTGCAGAAGGTTGAACGAAGCTGTTCCACTAAACTAGTTTCTTGATGCTAACTCTAATTTTGCTGCTTGCAGTTTGAATACCAGCAGGCCCAGCTGGAGGCTGAAATTGAAAATCTCTCATGGAAGGTGGAGCGAGCAGACAGCTATGACAGAGGGGTGAGTGTTCCGCTTGCTTGAGCCCGCTGGCCAGATTTTGTTAATATCAGGCTTAGCACCGCTGTGGGAGAGCTAAGGAGTTAAGTGAGAGTGCTGAAATACTGGATTCAAAATCTCACTTTTCTTCCTCTTGTTGGTGGATGTTGTGGAAGCCGAGTGCTCACTGCTGCTTGGGCGAGGAGGCAGGGCTGGAAACAGAACCAAGAAAGATTTGGAGGAAGCTGCCCATAATAGACCTCTGGTTAAGTATGGGTTCCTGAAGCATGTAGCTTTTTAGATAAAGCGAGAGCCAGGTAACTGCAGAGTGAGCCCATGTTAAAAGAAATGAGGTCTGCAATCTTGTGATTCAGAGCATATTTGAAGTATGAAGGTTGGTGATTCTCAGATTATTTGAATCCCTGAGAAAAAAAAATTAACTCATCTCTGGGGATCTCACACTAACTATTTCTGCCTTCTGTTTTACTAGGACTTAGAGAATCAGATGCACATAGCAGAGCAGAGACGGAGGACCCTGCTGAAAGACTTCCATGACACATAAAACAGGAGAAAATGACAAAGTGCAGGGGTGAGAGCAGCAAGTGAAGTGATGGCAGCTTCACCGGGATAAGCAGGCACTGCCTCTGGGAGAACACGGCCAACGACAGAGCCACCCCTCCCCTTGCAAGTCAGACACATGCAAACATCACATCTTAGTCCAGTTTGTTCTCTTATCTTTCTGTTTGTTTCCGCCATGCTAGAGGCCAGAGTTCAGATTGGCGTATTTCCTGGGACATTTCCCTCCTGCCCTCAATGGTTTCAGAAGGGGAGGGAGTTTTTCTCTGAATGGCTGTTAATAGTATTAGATCAATACAATTTATGTAATTTTCAACGGTTGTACAATTATACAGACAAACCTTAGAATAACACACAACCCTTTTTAAAAATAAATTGGCAGTGGAGTGTTTTTCCTTAATCTGCTTGTAAATTTAATGGGCTTTTCCCTCTCTCCTCCTTCCTTCCTCTGAACCAAAAATCCTCCTAGGCACTGAAGGAGGTTGCAAAATAACTCACCTAGATTTCCTGATGCTCTTTCAACCAGGAGATTGTAGCATTGGCATTGCATGAGGAGAGTGGCTGGTGCTAAGAATGGCTGCTGCTGTGTCTGATCTGGCAGTACCAGCAGTGTCTGTGACTTAGTCCGATTACATGTGACATCTCTTCTTGAAAATCAGCTGTGCAAAATCTTGCTACACAAACGAAAACAAGCAGAGGAATTGTAGGGGAGAAAACAGGTTATCACTAAGCAGGTCAGATTCTGCATTTGATAAATTTTAGGTCTTCCATATAGATTTTTTGCTTTACTTGTTTTTGTGGGGAGGGTGTTGTATTGCCAAAGTGAGTGATGAGGGAATTGTAGCATACAGATGTTAATCAAAGCTTGGGGCTTTTGCAGAGTGAAGCAATCCATGTCATAACAGTGCCATGCAATCTGGTAAAGAATATTTGTGCCTGCTGGGTGACATGGTTGAGAAAATTTGATCCCATTAATTGATGTGAAACTGAACTCCGCTACTTTACGAGGAGCAAATAGTATGTACAACACACTCCCTGGCACATGTTGGACGGGCACTAGGATACAGATGCACTGATTGTGCAGAGCCTGCACCAAGCCAGGCAGAAAATTAACTTGCAAAATTAATTTATTTGTATATTAGTATCAATACTGGTGGGAACTTATCAGAAAATTGATTGCTAGGAGCATGTGGAGCTTTTTTATTAACATTCTTTTTTCTAATGTAAAATATACACTAAAATAAAAATATGAAAACCTAGTTCATCTTAGTAGAGGTTAACATGAAAAAGGTTACTTAAATGCTGATGCTTGCCTCTTTGCTATAGGAAGCAGGCCACATGTTAAGATTTCACAAGCATGTATGTCACCTGCACCAGGAACACGCTGTACACAGCCAGTGAAGGTGAAGCTGGAGTGTCTGATTTGAGGAAATCACTTCTGTGGGGGACTCGTGGGATTCTCTTCCATGCTGTACATGGAAGCGTAACCTTTGACGTGTCCCTGCGTATTGCTTTTATACAATTTCACTTGACAAAGATTAAACTGAAGGGGACAAAGTACTAAATTCCTGCATGTCCAAATAAGCTAACTGCTGTTGGAGCCTTTTTCATGTACCTGAGATGCGTGAGCCAAGTTTTTGCAGCATGTATAATTGGGTAGATGGACTTGAACAAGAGAAGCTCGGTTTAAGAGAAAAGCTGCCATCAAAGCTAATCCTGTGGCCATGCTTGCTCACGGTGGAAAATTTCCATCTGAGAGGCCTTGCTCTTTCCATCTCCCTTCCCTGCTGTAGGATGTATCCTCAGGAACATGTTGCCAAAGAGCTGCTGGCAGTGGAGCAGGGATAGGAACAGAAGCAGCACCTGTACGAGGTCTCTTATGTTTCTGCTCTGGGCTGTTTTGGCTCTTTTGGCTCCCATCTAGGCTGAAGCCATGGGGGTAGATTGCTCCAGCCACTGCCTTCTGAATTCATTCCCTCCTCTGCTCCCAGCAGCGACATCTTTGTGCCCTGCTCAGAATATATTCCAGAGATTGGCCAAATGTACCTTTCTCTCCTCCTCCTAAATACTTGTCAAAATTTGCGACACAGGGCAAGGGATAGCTCAGGGGAGAGCTTGCTGAGACCCAGTGGTTTGCAGTATGCTGAGCCAACGTTTAAACTGTTCTTTGAAGATTTTAATGTGCAAAGTTCTAATTTGGGATAAAAGCTGGTGTTCTTGTTGTCTAAATGTAACTAGCATAATGCCCAGTCTCTCTGCAGAACAGATACTCGGTGTTTCCTAATCCCGAAGAGGTCTCACTTTTCTTACATAATTGCTAGGCTTTGAGCTACACTAGAATGGGGTTTTGTCTCTCTCCACCTCCTCTTTGCCTCTCTCCGTTGCCCCCACAAAATGCTTTGCCATGAATCCTTGTTTGTAGAAAAACTAGACTATGTAGCTGTGGCCAAATGTGCTGAACAGACTGCTGAGATGCTTGGCTGAGGAACAGTACTACATGTTGCACTGAGTGCCCCTTAATTCTTTCACAATTTCTCAAGTTTTAGCCAGCAGTTCTATTTGCTTTAAAACAAATCACGCCCTTTCTTAGGGTGGTGGTTGTCTTGGTTTGCACACACAAATCCCATTTCCATGCTCTTTGGGAAAACAACAGCACTTTGTTGCTGTTGCAGCCCAGACAGGGTGACTGCTGTATCGATGTCATGCAGAGTTGTAAACTCCAGCAGAGCGCAGGGAGTGTTGGCTCTTTGTGCAAAGTGACGCTGCTTGAAAGGCTACAACAGGAAGGAGTTGCAGTATCAAAAGACAAGGCTAGTTTTTTTTCCCCTGTAACGGGTACACAGCCCTATTCGAGTCAGCAGGGTTATGTGACCATAGGTGCTCAGTGGCTCAGGAGCCATTCACTCTGAGATACAAAATTCCCTTTGATGCATTGCTGCTACAGATGTGGAATGTTTGCTCTTCTTTTTCTTTTTGCATTCGTCTCTCCCTGCCTGCCTGCCATCTCTCCATCCGTGCATCTGGTGCTCTTCATTTCAGCTTTGCTTGTGTTATGCGTTGGCTGCCTCACCTCTGATGGTCCTCAGGCTTCCCAGACTGTAACAAAAATTTTTTTACTGATAATATAAACTGCATGACTGCTGCTCTGTCCTCGCATAGGGCCGGAGGCAGCAGGAGGTTTCTGTACTATAGCCTTGCACTCTAAATTTTAGACTTTTTAAGCAGGTGAAAAATAGAACTTTATTTTTAAATGAGGCACTCGTTCTGGGAGCTCCTGTCCTCGCCCCACTCCGGTTGAGATCGTGGGACAGTGCTGGAGGAGGGCTGCCGCGTACCCCCCCGCACGCCGCAGGAGGGCCGCGAATCTGTATCCTCCTCGCTTCTCTTTGCAGGCACCGGATAGGGGCAGGGGCGGCGGAAACCGCCTGGGAGACGGTTGCCGGACGCGCGCCCTTGGTTTATTTGCAATAAATCGTGACTTTTTAACTTCGGACGTGTCCCGGCTCTTCCTTGCGGTTGGAGATGCGCCGCCCCCCCGCGCGCCGCACGTGCCCCTTTCCCGCCACGCGCGCGCCGGCCACGCCCCCCGACGCATGACGTAACACGCCGCGCGGTTGCCGTGGTGACGCGCGGGGCCTGGCGGGCCGGGGCGCGATGGCGGCGGCGGCGGCGGCGGCGCGGGCGGAGAGCCCCCCGCTGCCCGGCCCGCCGGGAGGCCGCCCGCGGCCCGTGTGCTCGCGGCCCTACTTCCTCGTGCTCATGGTCTTCGCTCACCTCTACGTCCTCAACGTGCTGGGGCTGCTGCTCTTCGTCCACCTCAGCGCCGGCGACGCCGGCGGCGGCCCCCCCGCCTCCGCCGCCGCTCCTCCGCCGCCTCCTCCGCCGCCTGCCCGCGCCCTGCCGCGCCTCGAGGGCATCAAGGCAAGGCCGCGGGGCCGGGCGCGGGGCTCGGGGCGGGGCGGGCCCCAGCTCACCGCCGCTCTCCCCGCAGGTGGGCCACACGCAGCGCGTGGAGCTGGGGCCCGGCCGGACCCGCGCCGCGCGCACCCTCAGCCTCAAGCCGCTGCTCTTCGGTGAGTGGCCGCGGATCGGAACGCGGATCCCTTCCGCGTGCCGAGGGCGGGAGGGGCGGCCGAGGACCCCGGGGAGAGCGCGGGGCGGGAGGCGGTGGCGGTGCCCGGTTCCCGCCGGCTTTGTGCCCTCCTCTGGATTTGCTCTGCAGCGCGGCTGCACCGCGTTCCCCTCTTGCTGGTTTGCAGCCTTCCCCGCGTCGCTGCGATGCTCCCTGGGGTGAGTGCAGCCCCTGCCGCCCCTGCCGCCCCCGCCCCGGTCCCCGTGCTGTGGAAATCCGCTGGGAATGCACTGATTAATTTGGTGATGGAGCTCGTATTACTGCAAAGGCGGAGCAGACCTGTTGGCTCTGAGCTGGTGATGCTGGGGGCCTCGAGATGCTTTGCCAATACCTGAGCTGTTCTCTGATTCAAAATCGATTATACAGGCTGAAAACCTGGACAAAGGTCAGAGCATTTTCTTATTAAATTCCTTTAACGTAGTAAGTACCTGCAAGAAATATACAGACTTGTTTTGTTGTTTCTACATATGCAGTTCGTGGCTCGTTTCTAGCAGGTTCTCCATCAGGCATTCATTGAACTCAGGCCTGCAGCTCATACTGCTGGTGCAGTGAGCAGCCCCATGACACAGGCTGGGCAGTGGCTTTCCTGATCCTGTTGCAACCTTCTGTGCCCCACCGGTGCTGCTCTGCTGGACTGATGCTGGCAGGAGGGCACCCACAGGCAGCAGTGATCCCACAGCCCCTGATATGACTTGGGCACCTCTGTCAGCTTCTGGGGCAGGCTGTGCCTTCTAATGCTGGCTCTGGGGACAGCCCTAGGCAGGCAGCATTTCAGATCCCACCCAGACTGCTCTCCTTTATCCTCTGATAGGGAAGCCCTAATTTAGAAACCTTGACTCGCAAGACAGCTCTTATCTCCCAGATGGACCTGCCAGGAGCCAGCTGTGACTTAAAAAGAATTCCAGAGACCTCTCTATCTACGCAAACAGCACCGACCTAAATTAACTGTTTTAAAATCTAATTATTGCGTCTCTGTTGTTTAAATTGACAGAGGTGTGTATTTAATGGGGTGGTGTTAGACAAAGCCAGAAGTTGCTGGCAGAGCTCTTGAAGTCCTGAAGGGGATTTTGCTGAACGAGAGCCCATGTAGGGAGAAGTGGCTGCGCTGTGATCTTTGCTTTCAGCAGAGCAGGGTGGTGTGGGGCTGTGGGCAGCTGGCTGATGGCTTAATGGGAGCTCTGCGCTTTGGGGCTGGGCACCACAGGGAGTGCACAGTTTGTTGTTTTAAATGTGGGTAAGTCACTGCATTGAACTCGAGTATTTCATGGAGCTCTGAAAAAGTCCCTGCCCTATTTCCCCCTTCCTCCCCCCCCCCTCTGGTTATGAGACATCATTTCTAAGCTTGTAAGTCAGACCATCTGTGCGCTTCTTAGTTGGGAAACACCAGTAATCAAATAATCCCGTTAATGGAAAACAAATATCAGACAAAACCTTTTTCAACCTTCAGAGCTTTTACTTGTTGTGTTTTCAAAACGCAGTCTGTTCAGAGGATGCTGCCATCACAGGGACCACCTGGCAGCAGGCCTGCGGGTCGGGCAGCAGTTTGCGAGATGAGACAGCAGGGAGGAATAAAAATAGGAAATCTCTCTGTGTTTTTCTTCTGAGCCTCAGGGAAATAGAAGTAATTGCTACACAAATGTCAGAGCGCAGCTGAATTGCAGTGTGAGTGCTGTGAGTGCTAATCTCAGCCCATATTAAATCTGAAGAGACAGTCTTGGCTGGGTTGTTGGTGTGCTTTACGAGCACAGGGAGGCAATGTGTCTCCATCAAAGCTGGCGGTTCTCTCCACAACTGAGGCTGCAGGCTTTGAGCACAGGGAAGAACATATTTATCCCCAAAGCTGTGTGGTTTTCTTTTTTTCTGTCATTTTTATTTCATTCTCAAGTTTAATCCAGTGTAGAAAACTTTCCATGGACAGTGCTTTGTTAGACAGTAGAAATCCAACTCATTTTCTCACTTGGGGATTTGCAGTTTTCTGCTTTCTGCTCATGTAGAGCTGTGACTATATTCACCGGTGAGTGTGATTCCCAGTGTTGTTGCCACCTCTCTCAAGGCTCTGGGGGTATCTTCAGTAGCTCCACAGTTACCAGAACATTCTGACCCAAACTGAATACCTTAAGTCAAAACTGCATTCCCAGTTATGCAGAAATCCTCAGCTGTCTGCTGTGTGCTCAAGAGGGGTTGTTTCCTTTCACCTGTGCAGATGCCCATGTTATTGAAGGTCTCTTCTAGTCTGCTCGCCTGCGGATGTCAAGTCACTGATGCTGCACAAAGCCATCCACTCTAAGTCCTGGATTTGCAGGACCTTGCCATAGGAATATGTTAAGTCTGCATCCCTAAGCTCTGTCTCAGGAAAAGGGTTTTAGTGATCAGGGATCTGTAGTGAGGCCCTACCTGCTGACTATGACTGCTTTGATTTGCCTAAAAATACTGAATGCACATCTCCAAAACACCAACTGCCCGGGGAAGGAGTTTTCTAGCCGTGGGGAAGGGAGCCATTTCTTAGCATGAGGATGGAGATCTCAGACCTTCCTGCCGGCCTGCTCGGGGCAGCGGTGATGTTTCCATCTCCGCACGGCCTGGTGCAGGTTCCTGTTCTTCTTCTGCCAAGCGTAGGCCTTGTTCACCACCACTTTGTCGCTCTGCACTTCTCCGCTGATGACGAAGACCCCCGCATGAGTGCCTCTCATGATGTTGTGGGCGCAGGTAGCATCGATGTCCAGCCACTGCTGCAGCCTGCCTGGGATTTCGGTTCTGAGCAGCGGGCCGTGCTTCAGCACCTCCACCTTGGAGGGGTCCAGGTCGAAGTCGGAGACGGTTGTGGTTGTGTTCTTCCTGAGGATTCGGATTTTCACTGCTGGTGTGGAGAAAAAGAGTTGTTAGTTCTGTTTGCACGTCATAGCTTTTGGCAACTTATGCGCACAGCCAACGTGAGCTTTTGTGCTGCTCCTCTAAAGTGGTGACACATGCATCCAAGCCTGTGCAATTGCAGTGACTGTGGAAGAGTTCTCAGCTGAGCTGAGCGCTTCCAGCACTGAGCACTGTTCTTTCCACCCTGCTTTTCTCACGAGTGGAGGAGGCATAGCAGCACTGTGGCACAGGCAGAGTGTCTCCAAGGAGCAGTGGAACAAGCAGCAAGTCCTGTTACTTAACAGGTACACTGAGAACTGATCATCTCTGGAACCTGCTCATAAAGGCATGATTCCTCCAAGTCAGTTCTTATGGCCAAGCCATTCTTTGTGCGTGTCACAGCTTCACTGATGGAGGCCGTGCCAGCTGCAGAGAGGGCAGGTGGGTGTACTCACTGAAATCGTTGGCACAGAGGCTGTCCAGGATCTCCCTGGCAGTGCTGGCCTCTTCCAGCTCGCAGTCCTTGCAGCTGGCTCGAGGCACTGCTGCAACAGAAAGCTGGTTAGAACGCCCATTGCTGGAAAAGGCATCATATGGTTTTGACATCTGCGAGTGGTGGCTTGTAGTTTTGAAATGGTGCTTCCTCCTGAGCTATCCAGCCCCAGGATAGGAATGTTAAGCTCCCATCTCACAGTGGGGCAGGCACAGCTCGCTGTGCTTTGTGTAGGCTGTGTTCGTTGCTGCATGTTGCCGTGACATTGCTTAATGAATGTCTGCTGCTTTTCAGCTCCTGGACAGGCACACTGTGAGCTCCCATGTCTTTGAGATTTCTCCCCCTGCCCCAAGCCCCACTGTCTGAGGGCACCCAGGTAGTGATGAGCAGAGCTGAGGGAACAAGCTTCAGCCAACGTCACACTCCTTTTCTAGTTACAGTGCAATTCCCATAGAGGAAAAACTAGAATTTCCACTTTTCTTTTTAAATATAGCTTAAAGCCAGAAGCTCTAGGAGCTAGGCTGGAACTTTATGATCCTTGAGGTCCCTTCCAACCCAAGCCATTCTATGAACACAGGCAAGGCATAGGCTCATCCCTGTGAGCATTCAGCATTACACATGGGAAAACATATGAGAAAAAAAGCCCTTACTTCTCCTGCTGGAGGAACTTTCATCCGTGGAGACGGCAGCGATGCACAGCTCGTGGTCTGCAGGGAACTTGTTGCAGTTGAGGATTTCGGGCCAGGGATAGCCATAACAAGCCATGACGGGTGCACAGCTCCTCTTGACAGCCTCGCACAGGCTGCGGCACGGGTAGATGAGCCTGGGGGGGGGGAAGCAGGGAAGCAAGCAACAAAAGGCTGTTTTGGAAATTGGACGGGAGTTCTGTTCTCCCTCAGAAGTGGGGAGAGTCCCTGCTGGGTAATCCCACGTCCCCTCACTGTGCTGCCTGAAAGTGGCTGTGATCAGATCGCACGTCTTTTCTCTCAGGAGGCGAATGCCATCGCTGCTGGGGAGCGATGCGCAAAGAACTCCTGCAGATGCCTTACCTGTCCAAGCAGATGGGCGCGAAGAGGGAGCAGAGGAAAATCCTGGCGTCGGGATGGCACTCCCTGGCCAGCAAGGGCAGCCAGCTGGAGGACTGCTGGATCACCTCCGGCATGGTCTCGTGCTCCAGCAGGTTGGGGATCCTCATCTCCGAGTATCCGATGTCGTAGCACAGGGCCATGCTGCGCGGGATGGCGGTGCAGCTGGAGGACCTGCGCAGGTAGCTGGCCCGCCCCCCTGGGCAGCCCCACAGCAGCAGGCGCAGCAGCAGGCCTGGCAGCCACGGGGCTCCCCGCCTGCGGGACACCTTCTCTGTGCTCACAGCCCTCATGGTGCTCGGAGTGGGCTCGCAGCACACCCAGACTGAGCTGCTCCAGCCCGCAGAATGCCTTTTATAGCCTGCGAGCCACCTCCGTGGCAATCCATCCTCATTAAGTGCGGCCCTTTCAGAGCCCTCTTGGGGAAGACAATGCTCCAATTTTCGTTTGCCAGCGGCCCCGATTGTTTGGATTTTAGCAGGGGTTTGGCTTAGATCAGCAGGTGTGGAAATGAGGGCAGCTGGGGAGGGGTGAATGCCTTGGCCCCGTGTCTTGGGGCTCTCTGTTTGACACCAGTGCTCCAACCAGCCCCTTTCTCTTGCTCCAGGATTAGTCATTATTTCATAAACCCCAATGTTTTCCTCTCTTTTGTTTTTTTTTTCTTCTGAAAGCAATCAAGTGTTGCTCAAAGTCAATTAGGAGGCATTTGTTTAGCTGGACCCATTGTTGAGCGGGATGAGAGATAGGATGGTCTCACAGTCAAAGTTAACTGTTTGGGAGAGCGGTGGGCACAGGAACCAATTTGCAGCTGGGAAGGAAGGCTGTTTGCCCTGCGGATTGCCAGCTCTTAGCTGGAAAGCCCCTCACCTTGCAACCTGCCTGGCAGAAAGCGCTTCCTGCTAATGCAATTTCTACCTCGTTACAAAATCCCATTACCACCACTGAAGAGAGAGATTGTCCTTCCTCCAGCACGTAATTAAGATTCCAGAAGCTGTCATTATTTGAGCCCGGTTTGAGGAACTGGAGATCCTGGGACCGTTGCTTGCCAGTGGGTATGGTTGGCTCTGACCCGGTGCGAGGCCGTGACGCTCGGGACAGCGGAAGCTCTGGCCCCAAAGCCCCCTCTGTTACAAGGACATTGTTCTGCTGGTGGCAGAAATTGTGTCCTCAGAGGGATACAGCTGCATTGTGTCCCCGGGGCTTCCCAGGAGCATCGTGTTTTCTACAGGGCCAGTTCTGGTATGCACTTAAGAGGCCAACTGCTTACTGACAGTCGGGGCTGATAGGGTTGATTTAAGGTCGTGGAAGTAATTAACTTTTATTTTTTCTTTCCCCCTTTGAGGATTGCTGTTGCAGCTGGGATGTGATGTGTCCTCAGCACACACCTGCAGGGCCGCAGTTTAGAGAGCAGGACTTTGTCTCTAAAAGCATTTACAGAATCATTACGATTGGAAAATACATTTAAAATCATCTAATCCAGCCCATCACAGCCATATACACTTAAGCCTGTCCTGCTCTGATGGCTACTTCCCCCTTCATTCAAGGAAATGAATGGGACTAAGTCAGGAAGTTTTTTAAGTTTCCCAGTAGAGCAGTGTGCTAGGTACCCCCAAAAGGAGTTTGGTTGTTTGCTAGGTGCTGCCTGCTCTGCGGCAGAGCAAAGGAGCATGAAACCCTAGCCATCCTCGCTTCCCCCTGTAAGGACTTCTGCCCTCCCTTCCTGTAAAACAGCAGTTCCAGACTGTGATCCACATGTAACCTTTGAAGTGATAAAACGCAGTGATATGCCTGTGTTTGTTCGCTCCTTTGTCCATTGTGGTGATCTGCAAGAAAATAAGGGGCTTGACCCCAGGGTCCAAACATTGAGGAATGGCTGCTGTAAAAATACCCATCTCCTGGAGCTCAGGTGTGAGGTGTGTGCTGTTGTAGAGCTCTTTGGGTAGAAAGGCATATGTATTTGACTGTCCTACCCCCTTGGCTTGGTAGGAAGTTTCTAAATTTTCCTATTTTCCTCTCTTTTCAGTGGCCTGTTGTTAGTGCTTGTCCTAATGTAACAGTTCCTCAGTCTCTGTTACTGCTCGCATTTTCCTGCAGAAATTCCAGACTTCCTGACAGAGGAGGAGTGCAAACTCATCATCCATCTGGCACAGCTGAAGGGGCTGCAGAAGAGCCAGATCCTACCAACAGATGACTACGAGGAAGCCATGGAAATGATAGAAATCAGCCAGATGGACTTCTTCAATCTGCTGGACCACAATCAGGATGGGCAGCTGCAGCTCAAAGAGGTAGAGTGCATTTCTTCTTGTGTATGTCCCAGCACAATGAGTTTGTGCAGTAGAGCTGGCTATGCCCTCCTGCAGCTGACACTGCTTCAGAATCATCCACAGTACCAAACCTGGGAGGGGGATAAGGAGCACCTTGTCCACAGCTCTTCAGCAGCCTATCCTGCAGGGCAGCATGCATCGGAGTAGGTAGAAGGATGTCGCTTCTCAGGTGCTCCTCTGGAGGTCAGAGCTTGCTGAGAGCTGTACCTCATCCACCTAAGAATTGGTTAACTGAGCTTCAGCAGTCATTTGCCATCACCTAAACTGGAAATGAAAATGCAGATCAGCCACACAGCGTGGCTGCCCGATAATCTCCACTCAGATCTGTGTGCAGAGATGTGCTGATGCCTGGCTGACTGATGCACTGCAGTGGAGAGCTGGCCAGGCCTCAAGCAGGAAACCAGGAGGGTTGCATTAGTGCTAGAAACCAGTGCCCAGCGTTGATCTGCTTCTGAATTTCAGGTGCTGACTCACACCCGCCTTGGGAACGGCAGGTGGATGACCCCTGAAAACATCCGAGAGATGTACACTGCAGTCAAGGCTGATCCTGATGGGAATGGTAAGAGCAGCTCCTCAGGAATCCCCACGTCCTCAGCATGGGATGCTGCACATAGCCATGCAGGGAGAAGCAAAAGCCATGTCCTTGCCCAGGCCTGTTGTAGTAGATGGTCTTCCAAGGAAAATACTGCTTTAGAGACCTTTGCAGAAAGTAAAATTGGTGTAGACCTCTCAGAAGCTGCTCTGGCTCTGACCATGTAGCTCTCATTGTGTGGGCTGCAGCTCTTAAGGTGTTCCCCCCTGCTTTCAAAGGGACTTCTACAGATGTCTGAGGGAGCTGCTTCACAGGCATGGGAGTGCAGCATCGGTGGACTCGGGGTGGTGTTGGTCAGCTTTTAGTGCTGATTCCATCTCTGCCACTGCTCTGTTCTCTGTATTACTCCCCTTACCCTGGTCTCCCTCTGGCCTCGACGTGCACTCTAACCTTTGCTGCTCTAATTAGAGTGTCCTCAATTAAGCAACTCTCCATTTCCTAATCAAATTAAGTGAATGCACAGGCTGTGCATGCTCTCTTCCAGTGACCTGGCATTGAGAGTGCTATAGAGGAGCTGCTTTGGAGATGAAGCAGTACCCATGTGAATGCCTAAATATCCGGAGGGCACCCCGAGCACCCACGCTGGTGACATTTTTGGCAGGGGTAGGAGCATATGATTGAGTTGCCAATGGCTTTTTCACCGTTCCGGATGTTTACAAATGAAAAGTCCTGTTAAAGTGCTTTTGGCAGGACCTTGCTTCCAGAGTGCTGCTTTCCTCCATTGTCACATCGGTGTGTGCCACTGAGGGCCCAGGTCACGACCTGGATGTGGCACTGTGTTATCAAAGACCACGTCAAATAAGGGGAAGGGGGAACTGGGAGATGTGAGCAAGGCATGAGAAATGGTGACGTGGGTGATTTGCTGACAACTACCAGCACCTGAGGAGCTGCCCTGAGCTGACCCTGGTGGCTGGGACTTCCCCCTGGCCACAAACAGCAGTGTGTATGCTGTCTCCCTGAGCTCCTCTCACAGTCCCTGATGTGTGCTGGCTGCTGGGTGTGTGCTGCTTCCCTGCTTCTCCAGAAAGGGAACACAACAAACGGTAAGGATTTCTTAGAAGCTAAGAGAGGCAAAAATCCATCCCTTGCCAAGCTCAGCTGAGTGCAAACAAGAAATATCTGTTCTAGTAGAAACCTCCTTTTACCTTTTGTTTTTCTGTCTTCTGTTTATATCGGATCGTACTGTGTTGTGTATCTCTTTCATGTTTTGGAACTGCACAAAAGCAGAAGAACAAACTGCTTGTTGTTTGGGGTTTGGTTTTTTAAATTGCCCTGCAAGGTCTTGTAGGAAGGTGGCCTGAGGTGTCCCCCTCTGCTCCATTTAAATATGTGAGTAGCAAGTTGATTGTGTTTTGCCTGTTCTGATTCTGACCTTGCACTGCAGCTGAAGGTTCTCTAGCACTCTCATGCACGTGGGGTGCCCAGGTCAGCTTGCTCCTGCTCTCTTCCACAGGTGTGCTGAGTTTGGAGGAGTTCAAGAGACTGAACATCCGTGACTTCCACAAGTACATAGGGAGCCAGAAAGTGAAGACAAGTGACGCGGTGCGCAACAGCCAGCACACGTGGCTGTACCAGGGCGAGGGTGCACACCAGGTCATGAGAGCCATACGACAGAGGTGAGGGCTGAGGGGGTGTGGGCACGTGGGCCACCTGTGCTGGGAGATGCAGATGCAGACATGCTAATATTCATGCTTTCTAATTCCGTGGAAGTCTGGAGTATGAAGAGCAATGAGCTCAGTCATGAAATGGGAAGAGAATGTTTTCATTAGAACAAGGATTTGTATTGTCCCCTGCAAAAGGAAAAAGAAAAATCAAACCTTTCAGTGTAGCCATTCACTTTTGGGAACAGCCCTATAAAACCAAGAAGACTTGGCATTATATGAAATAATTCATTCCAATTAGTAAACGAGCTTACTGGGAGAAACTGCCCATTTCCAACCCTGTCTAGGTGCCAGTAGTTACTGTCAATTGCTTGAGTTACTCATGCATTTCACTGAGATCTGTCGTAGCTGTTCAGAACTAACTTCATAATAAGCACGACTTTATCTCAAGCACGCCGAGGTAGGTCGGTCATCGGAGCGCATGACCACGGGGCCTGTCCCAGCAGATGGGAGAACCTCCTGTCTTTCCCTTCACCTTGGTTTTGGTACTGGGAAGAGTTAACCCAGCTCGCAGGCCAAATGGCTTAGCCGTGGTGAGTTTCAGATAATTGGCTGGAGACTCCTCGTTCTTGTGGTGCTGGTCCTCGCCCAGGACATGGGTGGGGAAAATCTGTCCCGAGGCTGCAAAACAGCTGCTGGCCACTCCTTTTTTTCAGCACATTCCAGAGGGAGAATGGGGTCGCATATTGCCTTAATTAGAGCAGACTGTGGCTGCCACTTTCTCTGTGCCAGCTCTCTGGCACATACAGGCATCGGCACATTGCATTTATGCTCTTCAGTTTGCCAGTGTTAGAAAGCCCCTGCGGACCTGGAGGCGTGGTGCTGAAGGAGACTGTGATCCCCAGTGGGATCTTGTGGGGCCTGGAGGAGCTCGGCCACCCTGCCTTGGTGCCACATTCCCCTAGGGCTTCACAGCTCGGGATTCCCAGAGCTCTGAGTGTTCTTGGCAGGTCTTGAGAGGTACCTGCTTGCCTTGGGGATGAGCTCAGATGTAGCAGTGGAAAAAACCCATAGCCCTCTGTGCCCCTCTGCCCCGGGGGGAGGTTTTTGAAAGGCAACAGGGAAAGGTGAGTTAGGTGATGAGAATATCCCTAGAGCTAGTCTCTCGTTCACTCTCAGCAGGGGCCCTGTGCTTTGCTAACTGTCCCCGAGGTCTGTAGCTGGTGTGCAGGAGTCCAGAGAAGCGCTGAGATGGCACATGAAGGCTCCAGGGACACACACAGGAGGGATCTTTCTGAGCAAGCAAGGTCTTCATGAGAGCAGTCCTGCTGGAGATGCACCCTTTGTTTTTGTTTTTTTATTAACCTTGAGGAGGAGTTTCTGAGCTGATGCTGATGGTCTGACAGATCTGTAAGGAACCTAGTTATCTCTTGGCATGCTTGCTGCAGCCCATCCGTCTCTCCGGTCTTTTGGGGAAGGGGGTTCTCTTTCTCTGGATGCATTTGGTGCTCGGGAGTAGCGGCTGTCCTGGTGAATGTGTCTTCTCCTCACCTGCTGTGCTGTCTCCCCAGGGTAATGCGCCTGACTCGCTTGCCCCCAGAGATTGTGGAGCACAGCGAGCCCCTGCAGGTCGTGCGCTACGACCAGGGGGGCCACTACCATGCCCACATGGACAGCGGCCCTGTCTTCCCTGAGACTGCCTGCAGCCACACCAAGCTGGTTGCCAATGAAAGCGCTCCCTTTGAGACCTCATGCCGGTAAGGGCTGCTTTGGTGCAACTCTCTGTTGCCTTTGGAAAAAAAAAACAACAATGTAAACTGCTGTCTTGGAGGAGTGCTGTACAATCGGCAGGGGGTGGGCAGCCCCATGCAGCTCCTCCTGCTCCAGTGTGTCCCCTGACAGCTGCTCTGTCCTGTCCTGCAGGTATGTGACAGTGCTGTTCTACCTGAACAATGTCACAGGTGGAGGAGAAACTGTCTTTCCTATAGCTGATAACAGGACATACGAAGAGATGGTGAGTGGCTCTGTCGTTCTTGGGGGTTCTGGGTCCCACTGTGACTATTCACTGTAGAAGGGGGGCTTGGAGATGTGAGCCTTCTGAACTGGCGTGTGGGAGGGCTGAGCTTCACACACGGTGATTTCACTCAGAGGCCAAGGGAGGAGGTGCAGGGCTTTGGCAGTTCCCCACTCCAATGCATGAGGGGCAGCCTTTGGACCTTGCTGCCCTGACACAGGTTGTGCTTGCTTTAATCTGGGCACTTTTCCTCAGACTAAGATAACTGTAGGCATATGCTGTCTGGCGATGCATTAAGGGACTCAGCACAGGGCAAGAGGACGCTGGCAGCACAGCACAGCCTCTGTGCTTTGTTCCAGCCCCTTTATGACACCTGTGTTTTTGTTGTTGATTTTGGTTAGTCTTTGATCCAGAATGATGTTGATCTGCGAGATACTCGGAAAAACTGTGACAAGGGCAATTTGCGAGTGAAACCTCAGCAAGGCACTGCTGTCTTCTGGTACAACTACCTGTCGGATGGAGAAGGTACGGCTCCAGGCCAAGTCCTGCTAGGATTG